TCATCATCATTATTATTCAATTAAAATTCATTCTGACCAAATGCACAATGGCCACTTTAGTTAAATGCGTGTGAGCAGTAATATTAGCAATGCATTCCCTTGAACTGCACTGCAGTAAGAAACACCTTGCACCTTCCACTCCTAGAAGGATTCTCAAATGCTTGATATTTTACTAAAACAACACTTTTTAGAAAAAAGAACATCCTCCAATTTCTGTTTAATAGAAGGTACGATGATAGAAAGAATTGTAAAATAAGATCAAAGTGCAATTTTGAAACAATGAAATGGGTCAGGATCATCTCCGAATGTCCAGAAAGAATCAAACTTAAGATGAAAACATGAAGAGCAATCATCCAGAATTAAGAAATGGTAGAACTAACATACTGAAACCTGTCAGGATTTTTTCACCTCGCTAAAGTGAGAAGTAATTTTTTCTCAACTAGCTGACAGGTAGAGTATTGATCCTTGTCTCTAAGTATATTACTGAAGATAATATATTTAGAACATACATCTGGTAAGATGGAAAGCCAATCATCACCTTACAATCAAACCATTGAGAAATATTATGATCATCTGTCAGCTCTCGATTTGTTACTCCCCACATGGACCCTTGCAACTTACCCAAATTTGCAGAGCTCAAGCAGTTGTTTGTGCAGGACCATTAATTAAACAACCTGGACCAGACAACTTAACTTGAGCTGCTTGTTCAGCTAAGATCCCTTTTGTGGCATTTGATTTCAAATGTTGTCAGATACCAATAGAGAGATCCTTAGTCCAAGCTGTGACCCTTCACCTTTACCCATTTTTAAAACCCCAAAACCAACTGCATAGAGCTCATGAACATTTTTAATCTCAAAGGTATGTTTTCTTTTATTCAATGATGGAAAGTGGGTATCACTTACAAAGCATTTTTTGCCTCCCCATTCTTAATTGCCTTTGAACAGAGTGGTTTGTTAGGCCATTTCACAGCAGTTAAGAGTTAACCACGTTGCTGTGGATCTGGAGTCTCATGTGGGGCCAAACCATGAAAGGATAACAATTTATTTCCTCCCCCTACTGTCCTTTAGTTAACAGATGGGTTTTTGTGATAATTGGTGATAGTTTCATGGTCACCATTAGCAAAAACAGATTTCAGTTACCAATTTGTTGAATTCAAATTGCACCAGCTATCATAGTGAGATTTGTTGAACCCAAAGCATTAGTGGTTTGAGAGTCTGCACACAGTTGCAATGTTGCTGCCTGCCCTTCCTGTCCCTTGATCACTTATAAATCTTTCATTTCTTTCCCAGTCCCCCACTATCTAACATTCTCTTATCTCCTATTCACTTTGGCGAATCAACTTGCTCTCCTGACCCAATGCTGGCTGACAATAATAATGGCTTCCTTTTGTTGGGCATTGATTCTCAACACATCAGTGCCTCTTTGCTTCAGACTCAATTCTGTCAACTAAACTGTTTAAATCCCTGCAATATCTATCTTTATACATCACTCAACACCAAGGAGCCCAGGGAAAACTCTTAAACACATTATCTTTGACTGTGAGTGCTGTGCATCATCCCTCTCATCCCCTCTGCAATATTTATTGCACTGGCATTTCCCCTTTTGATTGAATTATTCCAATACACCTTTACAAACCTAGCAACCTCGCATGTTCCATTAACTCCATTTTGTCCAAAGTACAGCTATTCATCTCTTATTGCACAATGAGGGGACAATAGCATCATGATGATTAACTGTGTTAGTTTCTCCATCTGACAAACCTATGCCTGCAAACTCAAGGCTATTTGGTTCACTTTTAACTATCCTCTGAAGTGGCTGCAAGTACCAGGCATTCAAATTTTGGCAGTTCACCACCAGCTGAGAATGCTTTGACTTCACTCTTAATATGGTGTCATATTGGTTATGTTACTGGACTAGTAATCAAGCACTTCGGACTAATGTTCCAAACTTTAAGTTCAAAGCCCATCATGGCATTTAGGGAATTGATGAAATATACATGAAATTTTTAAACAGCTAGTATCAATAATAGTTATGATGAAAGTAGCATATTGTCATGAAAACCCTGCTGGCTCACAAAAATATCCTTCGAGGAAGAAAATCTGCTATTTTCACCTGGTCCCCTATTTTAGAAAGAAAAGACTTCTCAAAACATTGTTTGGTCACCCATCATAGCCAGTGTCTCTTTTACTAATCACTTTCATTTGTGAATTGCTCCACCATTCTTTTACGTTAAAGGAAGGTTATTGCTGTTCCTTATAATTCCATCACTGCATCATTGAACAGATTAAATAGAAAAGACAACAGAGATGAGATTCCTTCACTGCTCTTTTGAGAGAGAGAGAATTTCACTGAGTTTCGTAGATAAAATCCAGGAATAAATTTGGATGAGCAACCAACGATGGTCCCATTCAAGAAGGAAATGAAATTGAAATCTGAGCTAAAATCCCAATTGCAAGTTCTACAAGTACCAGCACTCTTGGTATAAAATCAGTGAATATCAGTATTTGAGAGAAATGGCAACATCATAAAAGTTGCTACTAAAACTCTTGTCAAAACCATGAGTTCCATTTCAAAGGGAGATATTCGGAAAAACAGAAGAAGAATCCAATCAGAAATCATGGTTGAACCAATTTATATCATTCCTACAACATGCACATCAATAAAAAGCATTCATCCAGGGATAGGTCAAAAACCTTTCATAAAGAAGAAATTATTGCAATAGTGAAGGAGTATATTAGCCCTGGTGAAGTGGAATCTGTGTGGTAGAGTTTAGAAACACCAATGGGCAGAAAATGATAGGGCTGTATAAAGCCTCAAATTATAGTGGCATTGCTGGGATAGCATGGAACAGGAAATTAGAGATGCAAGCAATAAAGGTACAGCTGTAATTATGGGCTACTTCAATCTGCATAAAAATTGGGCAAATCAAATCAGTAGCAATACTGTAGAGGAAGAAATCCTAGAGTATGTATGGGATTGTTTTCCAGATCAATATGTTGAGGAATCAAGAAGAGAAAAGGCCATCTTAGACTGGGTATTGTGTAATGAGAAAGGAATCATTGGTAATCTAGTGTGAGACATCTTGGGGAAGAGTGACCAAAATATTCTTAATGAAGATCAAGAGGGATGTATTTGATTCTGAGGCTAAGATCCTTAATCTAAGTAAAGGAAATTACAATGGTATGAGGTCTGAGCTGACTATGATAATTTGGGAAAAGTTACTTAAATGATGATGGCAATGGCAATGGCAATATATAAGGAGTGTTTGGAGGATCTGCAACAATTGTCCACAAAAAAATAAAATGGAAAAGGTGACCTGACCATGGCTAACAAGAGAACTTAGGGACAGTGTTAGGTCCAAGAAAGGGCATACAAATTGGCCAGTAACAGCAATTGACCTGAATATTGGGAGCAGTTTAGATTTCAGCAGAGGAGGATAAAGGGATTGATTAATAGGCGGAAAATAGAATATGGGAGTAAGCTTACATGGAACATACAAACTAATTGTAAATGCTTACATATAGGTATGTGAAGAGTAAAAGATTAGTAAAGACAAATATTTGTCCCTGACGTTGAGAAACGGGAGGTTATAAAGGGGAACAAAGAAATGGCAAACCAATTAAATCATACTTTAGCTATGTCTTCGCAAAGGAGGGCACACAACAAATGTTGGAGAATACAGGGTCTAGTGAGAGGGACTGGAAACAAATCATTATTAGAAGTGAGATTGATGGGATTAGAGTCAATAACTCCCCCAATGCCCGAGCATCTAAGGAAGTGGCCCAAGAAATAGTTGATGTATTGGTGGTCATCTTTCAGGATACTATAGACTCTAAAACAGTTCCTATTGATTGGAGGGTGACATAACTCCTCCAATTTTAAAAGGATATAGAGAGAAAACAGGAAATTACACACCAATTAAACCTGACATTGGTTGGGGAAATACTAGCGTCGACTATAAATGTCCATTAATAGCAGAGTACCTGGAAACAGAATTGGACGGAGTCAATATTGATTTATGAAATGAAATCACCCTTGTCAAATCTACCGGAATTCTTGAGGATGTAACTTTGAAGAGTTGATAAGAGTGTGCCAGTAGATGTGTTTTACTTGGACTTTCAAAAGGTTCTCAATAAGGTAAGAGATTAGCATGTAAAATTGAAGTGCATGGGATTGGGGTCAGTGTACTGATTTGGATGGAGAAGCAGTTGACAGACAGGAAACAGGAAATAGGAATAAATGGGTCTTTTTCCAAGTGGCAGGCAGTGACCAGTAGAATATCACAGGGATCAGTTTGGACCCCAGCTACTCATAATATAGAAATTATTTAGATGGGGAACTAATGGTATGTAAGACTAACGATATGTTGGCTGTCATAGCAGAGGATTTGAGTACAGGAGCAGGGATGTCTTGCTGCAGTTGTACACAGACTTGGTGAGACCACACCTGCATTATTATGTACAGTTTTGGTTTCCTTGTCTCAGGGAGGATGTCCTGGAGCCCCCAGAGACCAGGCCTTGTTGTTATATGGGCTGCTTCCAGATACTACCCATAGTTGCCCACTAACTGTCCCCATTAGTAGCTATTCATTGCTCCCAGAGTGACCTTTAACCACTCCTTTGTCTGTCCAACTGTTTTACTCCATCTTTGGGCTCTATCTCCACCTATCGTTTACTGTCCCCTCTCCCAACACCCCATCTTCTGTATAAAAAACATTCTTTTCCTAGCTACCATCAGTTCTGAAGAGGAGTCACTGGATCCAAAATGTTAACTCTGATTTCTCTCCACAGATGCTGACAGACCTGTTGAGATTTTCCAGAAATTTCTGTTTCTGTGCCAATACAAGTGTATTGGGTTGCATGGCTTCTTACCATGCAAATTCTTTATCACCTTTAATGGCTAGGAGTTGCATTTAAAACTGAGTTTTTAAGGAAAAAAAAAAATTGCTTCAGGAATTAGTGACTGACTTTTTTTTAAACTGTTGTCATATTTATTTCCAGGCCACATCGCTGACTTCCTTGAATTCAGAAGGTAGAAATTCAGATGACTACATTTTGGTTTCTAAAGATGATGATGATTTAGTGCATGAGCATCCCTCAGGAAAATTGGAAGCAACAGGAACAGCAAAGAAACATCAAATTTCTACCACCACTGAAGTAACTAGAAAACAAGCACAGCAGTCCCCAGTTTTTTCTGACCCTCTGACTGGTGGAGTTCTAGAGTCACCGTCCAGCAACTCAGGATCCAGTCCAGATGATGACAGTAGCAACAGCAAAGATTCTGATTTCACCATCGTCAGCCCATTGGACATCTGAATTTCTTTCTTTCCAGCGTTGGCCTCCATGTTGTTAGAAAACCTATTACCTGCTCGCTAATGAAATTCTGTATGGATTGCTTGACAAGTGCGACACTCCTCTAAGTCTGAAAATTAAATAAACTTTAATGAGGCTCATTATGAATGGCCTTGTGATTTAATAATGTATATTGGATTATAGTTAAAATGATGGACCTTGGTTAATTAAAATGAATTTACATTTAGTGACCATGTCACATCCACGCCAGCTATTTAAATCTTTAAGTCTGAACCGACCACATATTCTAAGCAGACTCTGGGAATACACAACTCAACACCAGTTCCATATGATCCAAGTTCATGGAGTGCACTCTGATCTGGTTCCAAGAAAATTTGGTTCCAGCTGCCAGTCAGTAGCCCACTACCAGTGACCCCTAATACTTGGGGATATTTTCCTTTCTACCAAGTTTCTCAGGAAAACTGTAAAATCCAGGAACTATTCAAAAATGAATGGGGTCAAGCGTATGCACTGTAGCCACAGTGTGAGGTCTTTGCATAAAGTCTCTTAGTTCTGCCCCAGTACCAGTCAAAAAAAGGAAATTGACATCCTTCCAACCATTGACACCTGCCCTCTAACACAGATTTGTCCATTTTATTTGTCACCACAAGGCAGCTCAGATCATATGGCTTGTTATTTGACAGTCACAGCTTTTAATAGTTAGGGCATTTATTGGAGATGAATTTCATGAAGTGGGAGCTCTTCTGAGTCAATGATTACTCAAGAGAAGCTGTGTCTCATCTGGGGATTGTGTCCAAAAGCAGGGACGTATCATCATCCTACTTCAGCCCTCTAACACAAGTAGTTCTAAGTGCATAACCATTTTAGCACAGTAACTTCAGAATGTAATTTTACTGAATTGGTTTCCTCTTGTAAATTAAATGTTGTTGTGATGATTGTGAATAACAATATCAGTACAGGAATTTGTCTGGGAGGCAGAACACAAAATCATTATTTTTTTTCTTTTTGAGGGGTCCTCTGAGATTTCCTCAGGGCTACTTGTTTTCAGAGACTCCTTAGAACTACAGAGGGGCAGACTAGAGAAAGTTCACCTCTGTCTTTGTATTTTTGTGGCTACCAGCAACATTTGACTGCCCCTCCCATTTATTTTGAGCACACCTCGAAGGATATGTCTGCTTGAGTGCACTTCATCCTCTTTCTCTCACAGGCAGCAATGAAGAGCCCTGCATCATTCCCATAGTGGAGGCCTGACTTGAATTAATTGTAATCAGCTAACAGTTCTCCATTGTTGGGAATCCTATGCAGGTTACACCCTGTCTGCTTCTCCCAACTCCCCCAGCCCATCATGTCCGTTTCAGTTGGTACAGGTTAACTCCCTTTATGATTTTAAAGGCTGAAATTGGTGAGAGTATTTTGAATTATAAAGATATTTAGGTGTAAAGAAGGTATTCATTAAACTGGTATCTTCTACTCTGTTTCCAGTTTCTGAAATTTCTAATCCCTACTTGATGTGGAAGTGATGTGGTTACTGACATGTATTACGGGAGTACAGGATTCTTTTATTCACTCTAATTATCCCATAGTAATGGAAATGCAATAAATACTTTGTATCTGGTAATGATTAACCAAATAAGCTTGAACTAATGCTATTTTATTCATCTCCAATTTGATTTGGTGTTTTGTTGTGGCTTTGTTGCCTTTTGCTAATTGCTGTTTGATTGTATCAGCAATATTGCACTGAAATGTGTTTACATTGTGCTTTCCAATTTTACATTATGGTGTCTTTTTATTCAACTGCTCTATCTCATGTATGTGCCCATTCCTAGGAGCATTTTGCAAAACTAGGCACTGAGAATTTCATGAAATGCAAGTCAATATTGCTGAGTAATTAGTTAAAAATGTAGTTGCCTGAATATTTTATACTGTTTCTACTATAAGAATCTGCTACCAAATAATTGCAGTAACATGTCAACTCATTTAACAATGTGTACATACAAGTTACTTTGCTGGAATGTTTAATTTTGTATATCGTGTCTGTACAATGTCTGGTGTATAACTGAGAAAAATCACTGGAAGGTATCATACCAATATTTGTTGGAGTGATTTAAACTTTCAACATAAGATCTCAAATGTTAAGTGAACCACCCACAGAATTCTTAGAATGTGTACTGAACGCCATAACCAAATTGTGTTTTTTGAGATATTGGCCTGTTATATAGAAAGTAATATTGTTCAAATTGACAGTATAAAGACTCCATTTTATTTTACAGTGTCGACGTAGATTCATAGATAACAGCTCCTTGTATTGTAGATTGATACAGCACAAGAGGTTGCCGTTTGGCCATGCCTTATATTGACCCTCTAAAAGAGCATTTACTCGGTGTCACTTCTTGCCTTTTCCTCATAGTTCTGCAAATGCTTCTTTTTTAGATATGGATCCATATCCCTTGCAAAATCCAGACAGCCAGCAGCCAGTACTTTCCAGATTCTAGCCTCTTATTGTTTGAAAAAAATCTTTCATGTCACCATTGTTTACTAATTGCCTCACATTTATACCATCTAGTTCTCTACTCCCACCAATGGGAACAAGTTCTACCGATGGGAACAAGTTCTACCAATCTACTTTGACTAGACTGTTGTGATTTTTGAATGCCTCCGTTAATTCTCCTCTCAACATTTGCTTTAAGAGAATGGTCCCAATCTGTCTGTGTAATTGAAACCCATTCTCATGAATCTATGCTGCACGCTCTCTAAACCACTTCATTTTCTTCCTAACGTGTGGTGCCCGGAAATGGATGTAATACTCCAGTTAAGGCCAAACTAGTGTTTATACAGATTTAACATAAATGCTTTGCTTTTATATATTCCTCTATTGGTAAAGCCCAGTGTGCTGTGTGAATTGTTAACTGCACTCAACTTGTTCTGTCTCTTCCAATCAGTTATGTACATATACACCCATGTCCCTCCATGCATGCCCATCCTTTAAAATTTATCTTTTGGTATATTTCCACATAGTTCTCTTTAAAATTAATCACTTTGCTCTCTTGTATCTTAAATTTCACCTGTCACTTGTCTACCTGTTCCACCAACTTTTTAAGACCTTTTAAAATTCTACACAATCCTCCTCCTGGTTGACAATACAGCTAAGTTCAAAATTTTGCCCTGTATTTGAAATTCCAAGACATCATACATAATCAGGACAAGCATGGAAACCCTGGAAAACACTATTGTACAGAAGAACATTCACTTTTTCTGTCCAAAGCCAATTTCATATCTATGTTGCTAATCTCCCTTTTATTCCTTGTTCACACAACTGTTGTATGGCACCATTGATTTGACTCTGGCTTTACTCTCAAGCTGAGCCATCACTTGTATCAGTTTTCAGAACTGACTACAGGTTGGAGGGTGAGGTGCTCTCGGAACTCCACTGACTGTCCAGTCCACCTTGGCAACCTGGTGTTTACCTGTTCCTTCTCTCCCTGCCTTCTGTTAAGCTCCAGGGTGACAACATTGATAAAAGTGCCATCTACTACACACTCATACTCTTGGATATGCAGCAGTGAAAGCACCTGATGGAATACCATGTGATACCACTGATATCATGATAGAAGGTGTCATCAACAGTACTACCAAGCAGTACTTGCTCAGCAATAACCTGCTCAGTGATGCCCAGTTTGGGTTCTGCCAAGGCCACTCAGCTCCTGACCTCAATACAGCCTTGGTTCAAACATGGACAAAAGAGCTGAATTCCAGAGGTGAGGTGAGAGTGACAGCCCTTGACATCAAGGCTGCAATCGACCGAGTGTAGCATCAAGGAGCCCCAGCAAAACTGGAATCAGTGGGTATTGGGGGCAAACTCTCCACTGTTTGGAGTTGTACCTAACACATAGGAAGATGGCTGTGGTTGTTGGAGGTCAGTCATCTTAGCTCCAGGACATTTCTGCAGGAGTTCTTCAGGGTAGTGCCCTAGACCCAACTATCTTCAGCTGCTTCATCAATGACCTTCCTTCCATCATAAGGTCAGAAGTGGGGATGTTCGCCGATGATTGCACAATGTTCAGCAAGATTGTTGACTCTTCAGATACTGAAGTAGTCCATGTTAAGTTCAACAATATCCAGGCTTGAAAAAAAAACAAAAGTTGCTGGAAAGGCTGGACCTGTTGAGCTGTTCCAGCATCTTCTGTTTTCTTTTGTTCCTGATTTACAGCATCTACAGTTCTTCCGGTTTTTAATATCCAGACTCGAGATGACAAGTGCCAAGTAACATTCACACCACATAAATGCCAGGCAATGACCATCTCCAATAAAAGACAATCTAATCACTGCCACTTGTTTGAATCCCCAATATCAACATCCTTGAGTTGCCATTGGCCAGAAACTCCACTGGACTTGTCACATAAACACAATAGCAGATCAGAGGCTAGGAATACTATGGAGAGTAACTCACCTTCTTCCTCCCCAAAGACTGTTCACCGTCTGTAAGGCACAAATCGGGAGTGTAATGGAATACTCGCCGCTTCCCTGAACGGATGCAGCTCCAACAGTGCTCAAGAAGCTTGACACCAAAGGACAAAGTAGTCCACTTGATTGGCACCACATGTATAAGAATTCCCCCACCACCAATGATCAGTTGCAGCGGTGTGTACTATATACAACATACACTGCAAAAATTCACCAAAGATCCTTAGACAACATCCTCCAAACCCACAACTACTTCTGTCTACACGGACCACAGCAGTAGATACATGAGAACACTGCCACATGCAAGTTCCCCTCCAAGCCACTCGCTGTCCTAAATTGAAAATATATCGCAATTCCTTCACCGCCACTGGGTCAAAATCTTGGAATTCCCTCCCTAAGGGCATTGAGATCAACCCACAGCAGGTGGCTCACCACCATCTTTTCAAGGGCAGCTAGGGACAGGCAATAAAATGCTGGCCCACCCGATGATGCCCACTGTCCACGAGTGAATAAAAAAAAGCTGCCACTCGAGCTCTGAAGCCTGGAAGGAAAGTTGATGCAGCTGACGACAACTCCTGCACCTGTGGTTATTTATGATACATTAAACATCTTGGAGTTCCCAAATGGAGCTGGATGTGCATTCCATAAATCAGAGCTCTCCTGCCATTCCTATACCTATAATGTAATAAAATCTACTACTTGAAAGAACAAAGCCCTCCAGCGATCTGCTTCCCTTCTGTTGTCAGTTACATATTGGAATGTTTACTTAACCATTGTTATATAATACATGATTTTTTTTCTCTCTAATTTCTCAGCTCTTTTGGCCAATTTCCTAACTTTGGAGGAAGGGAAATAAAGCTACAGTAGTCACCAGCTAATGAGCTCATGGCTTTCCTGTGAGGTCAGGTTGATTTTGATTTACTTTCTCACATTCGATGTGCTGCACGCTGCTCAGTGTCTACTTCACACTAAACCTGACTTGCTACACATTGCTCCTGGTCTGCTTCCCAGTGAATTAAAAACAAAGTGCTGGAGAAACTCAGCAGGTCTGGCAGCCTCTGTTTCTCTAACTACAAAGTTAATATTCCAAAGAAAAGTTTTTTCAGACTCAAAAAGTTAACTGTCTCACAGATGGTGCTAGACCTGCTGTGTTTCTCGAGTGCTTTGCATTTTATTTCATAATCCTCAGCATCTGCAATACTTTGATTTTATTTGAGTGCTTCACAGTGACCCTGACTTGCTACACAAACTTCCCAGCTCTCAGTTTATTTGTAGGGAATAAATCCCTAGAAGAGTATAAAGGTGGTAGGAATATTCTTAAAAGGAAAATCAAAAGGACAAAAAGGGAACATGAAATTGCTTTGGCAAACAGGGTTAAGGAGAATCCAAATGGATTCTATCAATACATTAAGGACAAAAGTATAACAAGGGAGAGAATGGGGCCCCTTAAAGATCAGCAAGGCAGCCTATGTGTGGAACTGCAGGATATGGGGAGATACTAAACAAGTATTTTGCATCAGTGTTTACTATGGAAAAGGATATGGAAGGTAGAGAACGAGGGGAAATAAATAGCAACATCATGAAAAATGTCCATATTGCAGAGGAGGAGGTGCTAAATGGCCTAAAACGCATAAACATGGATAAATCCTCAAGACCTGATCAGGTTATAGAGTCATACAGCATGGAAACAGACTCTTCAGTCCAACCAGTCCATGCTGAATATAATCCCAAGCTAAACTATTCGTATTCCTGGCCCATATCCCTCCAAACCTTTCCTATTCATCTTTCCATCCAAATGTCTTTTAAACATTGTAATTGTTCTCACATCCACCATTTCATCAGGAAGTTCATTCCACACACAAACTACCCTCTGTGTAAAAAAAAATGGCTTCTTATGTATTTTTTATATCTCTCTCCTCTCAATTTAAAAATGTGACCTCTAGTGTTGAAATTCCCCATCCTAGGCAAAAGACAACTACCGTCAGTTCTATCTATTATCTCTCATTATGTTATAAACTTCTTTCAGGTCACCTCTCAACCTTGGATGCTCCAGGGAAAAAAGGCCCCAGTCTGTCCAGCCTTTCCTTGTAACTTAAACCTTCCATACCCAGCAACATCCTGGTAAATCTCTTCTGAACCCTTTCCAGCTTGATAATATTATTCCTATAACTAACTGGGTGACCAGGACTGGACACGGTATTCCAGAAGAGGCCTCACCAATGTCCTGTACAACTTCAATATAACGTCCCAACTCCTATACTCAAAGGACTGAGCAAGGAAGGCAAGCAATGCCTTTTTAACCATGCAAAATTTAAAAGAATACGTACCTGCACTCCTAGGTCCGTCTGTTCTACAACACTAACCAAGGACCTACCATTACTTGTATAAACCCTACCCTTGTTTGTTGTACCAAAATGCAATACCTTGCATTTATCCAGATTGAACTCCATCTGCCATTTTTCAGCCCATTGACCCATTTGATCAAGATCACTTTGCAATCTTAGAAAACCTTCTTCACTGTCTACTATGCCACCAATTTTGGTGTCATCTGAAAACTTACTAACCATGCCTTCTATATTCTCATCCCAATCATTTATATAAACCAGCAACAAAAGTGGACCCAGAACTGATCCCTGTGGAACTTCGCTGATCACAGGCCTCCAGTCTGAAAAGCAACCTCCACCATTACTCTCTGTCTCCTGCCGTTAAGCCAATTGTGTATCCAATTGGCAAGCTCACCCTGAATCTCATGTGACCTAATTTTACTAATTAGTCTACCATG